GTCCTCCGCCCACTCCTCGACCTTCAAGCGCGCCCCGCCCCGCTCGCGCCATTCGTCGGACCTCGGCAGCGCTCGGACCTCGGTGTGCCGAGGTCCGCCGAGGTGCTGAGAAAAACGTGGGCGTGCGTGCGTTTGGGCGCGCCGACCTTGGCGATGGGCAGCTGAAGATCGGCGTCGACCTCCTCCGGCAGGTGGTGCGAGCTCTTCTGAAGGTGGTTCTTCAGGCGGAGCTGCGCCTCCTCGGCCGTCGCGCCGTTGAAGAGGTGGCCGCCCTTGTTGCAGCTTCCCGACAAGGGGCAGCTGACGCCGAAGATCGTGGCCGCGGGCGCCGAAGAGCGCGAGACCGCGCGCGATGCAAGCCGCGCTGGAGGGCCGCGAGAGCACGCGCGAAGGACGGCGCGGAGGAGGGCCGCCCGCGATGGCGCGCGCGGGGAAGGCCCGGCGCAAGCTCGAGCCAGAGCCCGCGGGAGCGGAAAACATCATAAGGGGAATGGTGGGGGAAGGGTGGGCGGCGGATGGGGCGCGCGCAGGCGGTGCACCGCCGAAGTTAGGCAGCGCCGCCGACGAGAGCCGATGGCAGCGGTGCGCCGCCGAAGTTGGGCGACGTTTTGGGGGCAACGAGAACCGACGGCAGGCGGTGCCCCGCCAATTTTGTTGCTGCGATGTGCGCAAACGACATTCGCGGTCGGGCCCGCGCCCGCCCGCGCGCGCCGCGCCGCGGACGGGCCCGCGCCGCGCCTACGATCAGCTGAACAAATCGGAGATCAGATGCCGACTGAAACCCCTGCCGCCCGCTCCCTTTCCGATTTATCTCCTGGCCCACCGTCCACCGCTCCTCCGCCCCCGCACCCCCCCGCCCCCCGATGGATGTTCCAGTCGGCGTCCGACCTCCGATGGGGGTTGTCGCCGCGACCTCGTCAGGGCCGCTGGCCCGCGGGCCTCGGCGCTGCAAGCCGCGCCGCCATGGCGGCGGCGGCGGCGCCGCCGCCGCGGGGCGCGCCTTCGCGGCAGGCCGCGGGGGCGGCGGCGGCGGCGGCGGCGGCCACTTCGGCGACGGCGCGACGTAGGGGCCGTCGGCCTGCGGCGCGCTGGGCGGCGGCGCGCGGCCGTATTTGGCGGCGTAGTACGCCGACTTGGCGCCAGAGCCGCCGCGGTTGCCCCGGCGCTTGCCGCTCTTGCGCCACGTCCGGCCGCGCCATGTCTGCGGGCCACCGTGCATGGGCGCGGGCGGCCCCCTGGTCGCGCGACCCCGCAGGCCGACGTGCCGCTGCGGCAGCTCGAGTGGTTTGGCCGCGCGCTCGGCGTTCCGGGCGATGGGCGCGTCCTCGCTCAACAGCGAGCGCAAGAACTTGCACGCCTGCACCACTTCCTCTGGCGCCGAGAACGCGTTCGGCAACTCGGGTACCTTTGCGACGAAGGCCCCCGCGGTGGGCGCGCCTGCTCGCGGCGGCGCCGCGCGCCACGGGAAGCTTTTTTTCCTGCTGCTGCGGCTGAGGCTGCGGCTGCGGCTCCTGCTGCGGCTCCTGCTGCGGCTGAGGCTGCGGCTGCGGCTCCTGCTGCGGCTGAGGCTGCTGCGATGGCAGCTGCTGATGCTGCTGCTGCGACCGCCACGTGCCGCCGACGTCCCGGGTGCGACGTGGCGGCGACATCGGCGCGGCGCCCTGGGGGTGGACGGGGGTGACCGTCGGTGCCTTCGCCGAGCCGACGTCGGAGGGGCCGTCGGAGCCGCTGCTGGAGGAGACCTCCACCGCCTCCAACCCTGGGGGCGCGGGGTCGGCGGTGGCGCCATCCATGCCAGCCTCCTGCGCAAGGCGAGGTAAACGCCGAGAGCACCGTCGGCCCTGGGCCCCGCCCCGCCGCCGCCCGCATCCAGGCCAACGCGGTCGAAGGGGAGGGGGCCGCGTGAGCCTCGGGCGCGCTCGATCCGTTTCCCCCCGAGCCTTGGCGTACATCTCGAAAAGGCTCAGGGCTTCGGCGACCTGCTCGAAGAGCGCCTCGCTCGCCCCTGAGGCCGCCAAGTGCACCTCAGCAGGAATCCAGGAAACCGAGCTGCACTGCCCAAGCGAACGCTTTGGGCTGAGCAGGCGTTTTCTGAATTCTCGGAGCCGGAGCCGTTCGGGAGGAGGCCCGGGCGGTTCCGAGACGCGCCAAGATCCCCCCCATACGTGCCCAGCGTGGTCCACGAACAACAAGGTTGTCGACAGATCGCCCCGAGACGCCCAAGATGCCCTACAGGCCGCCAAAAAGCCCGACCCCCCCCCCCAGGAGGCTTACCCACAGGGCCCCAAGAGCCCCAAATCATTGATTTTCCTCGCATGTTCAACAACTGCGTTTTTTTGGCTTTCGCGGCGTTGGCGACGGCCCAGTAGGTCCCCAATGTAGCCCCTAAGACGACCCCAGAAGCTCCCAAGAGGCCCCTAAGACGGTCCAAGGCGGCGCCAACACGGCCCAGGAGGCGCCCAAGAGGGCCCAAGAGAGCTCCAAGGCGGCCCCAAGAGGGGCCCGGGAGGGGGACAACGAGTAAAAAAATCCTGGATTTCGCCCAGTCAATTCCCAGGAGGCCCCAAGAGACCCCCAAGAAACCCCAAGAGGACACCAAGGGGCCCCAGGAGGCCGACCAAACCGGCCCCGAGAGGCGTCGAAACTGGTTCCAAGAGGCAGGATGGGCCGAAGGCCCCTCGATAATTTGAGCGGCCAGGGGGAGGCCCCTGAGGGACCAGGAGGGGGTCCATCGGATGACGATATTTGTAATGTCGCCTGACTGCACCATCTTCCTGCTCATTTTCTTCCCCTCGTTGCCTGCTCATCCTCGACCTCTTCGGTCTTTCACAGGTTTCCCGCCCAGGTTTTTTAAAGGTGCGCGATAATCGGTGGCCGACGACGACGCGGAAACGCCCCACCATGGGCGACGACGACGACAGACCGCCCCAAACAGGCCCCCCCAAAGCATTCCCACAATTCATGTTCCCAGCAGTCCTTGCGGGAACATGATTGTGGCTCTCGTGGCTCTTCAAGACTCGACGACGACGACGACGGACCGACCCAAGCAACCCCCAAAGACATTCTCATTCCCAGATATCATGCTCCCAGAAGTCCTTGTGGGAACATGATTCATCAGGCCCCAGGCATGGCCGACTCCAATGACGCAGCGCCATCAACAGCCCTCCAACACAGGAGTACGCCCAAAAATCATGTTCCTACAAGGCCTGCCAGGAACATGAGTCATCAGGCCCCCAGCGTGGCTTCCAATAGGGTATGATGAAGACGGAACGCCCCACGCAACCTTCTAAGACACTTCCAGTATTCATTTTGCCAACAAGCCTTCCAAGGACATCATTCCTTGTGCCTTCAAAGTGTCTCCCCAACAGGCGACGACAACGACGGAACGCCCCAAGCAGGCCCCAAATACACTCCTAAAACCCATGTCCCCAGAAGGCTTGCCGGGAACATGATTCATCAGGCCCTTAGCGACGACGACGACGACGGAACGCCGCAAGCAGCCTCCAAGACATTCCTACCATTCAGGTTCCGAAGCAACAACTTCTGGGACCTGGATCCATGAAGCCCTCCCCACGAGCGACGACGACGGAACGTTTCCGGCCGTTCCCAGGCTCCACAATCCATCATTTGTTTTTTGGAGCGAACAAACAGCTCAGGATAATAAAGCCGGATAGTGCTGATCCCGGGGACGAGGTTCACACATCCAGGGCCGCCGTTGGGAAGAAATCGCGACGTCGGGGGTGGTGGGGGGAGGACAGGGACAGTGGTGGAGGTTATTCAGTATCGGCTAACCGACCCCAGCCCCGATTGAGCTTCCTACCAACCTACCCCTCCCCCCGTCGCCGAGGTAGAGAATTACCCCCTGAAACCCGGGGGAGACGGCATACATTCCATCGTGTGGGGGGGTAAATCGCTCAGTGGGACGAGGGCCATGCCAGTGGGGATAGGGGTCGGTTAAACGATATCCAGTTATGAGATCAGCTGTGCGCAGTTCATCGTAGCGGCCCGACGGGCGGCTGAGAAAGTTTCTCGGTCACCATGCTCTGTCTGGTTTCCCAGATCGGCCCCACCAGGGTTCTCAGAGAAGCCCAGCGGGGCCTCGAGAGTCGACCAGAGGGGGCCCAAGAGGACCCCAGGAGGGCCCCCCAAAGGCCACCGGACTGGCACCCAAGAGGGGCTCGTGGGTGCCACTGTCGGGGTGCCATCTTCGGGTCCTCTTGGAGTGTTGTTGGGCCCCTCCCGGGCTGCTCTTGGGCTTCTTTTGGACACGGATGCTCGGGCCTCCCGGCGGCCCTTCGAGGACGAGCCGGGCCCTCCAAGGAGCGTGCTCGGCGGGGCGCAGCTGCCGGAGAGACGCGGTGTGCCTGCCTACAGGGTGAAGAGGTGGCTGCTTCGGTGAGGGGCTACTCTGAAAATGAGCCCACCCCTCTCCTGCATCCCCCTGAGCTGTCAGTGCCCCGTCCGCTGGGGTCCGCAAGCCCGATGCGCCCATTATTCCTCCGTTGGGGTTTACCCGGACCTGGACTGGACCCCGAGGCCGAGCACAAGCACCCCTCCGAGAGAGCCAGCGGCGAGGCCTCCGAAGACCTCGAGCCTCGAGCCCGCCGCCCGACCCCCCGCCGGCGTTGGCACTTCCCCCTCGGCCTGTGCCCCTGGGCCCCCCCCCCCCGGCCCGCCAGCGCTGGCACTTTCCCCCCCCCCTCGGCCTATCCCCCCCCCCAGATGGGAACTCGGGAAGGGCGCCCCCCGCGCCCCTCTTGCCCCCCTGCTGCGCTCGCCGCGGGGCCGCGCGCCCTTCCCCCTGGCGCGCGCGGTCTCCCGCCTGGTGAGGGGGCCCTGGCCCCTGAATTGGCCAGAGTCACTAAGCCAGGTCTGCCGTAGCTGGTGCTTTTTCGAGTGACGGCAGTTCCGGTCAGTGGAACTGGGCGGGGGGGGCGTCCCCCGGTACATATCACTAAACCAGGTCCCACGAAACCCAGCACTGCCAACGCCCGATCCAGGCGGTCTTCAAGGCGGGCAACGTCAACATGATCCGCCTCGGCGAGACCACCATCGAGTACAGCGAGGACGGGCCATCCCTGGCGTATCCGACGCGAGCTGGCGGCGCCCCCGAGTGGGGTGGCGCAAGGGAGGTGGGCTCCCGAGGAAGCGGGGGCGGGGCTCCCCAGAAGGCAGGGGGGGGGGCCTTGCTGGCAGGACCCGGCGGCCCCTGGGCAGGGCTGCCGAGAGGCTCGGGAGGGCTCCCAAGAAGCCGCCCCTGCCCACTTCTCTGGAGTCGGGCCTGTCCCTCCACAGGAGGAGTCCTCAGACATGGGAGAACTAGTCAGCGGACCATTTGCAGATGATGTTCTGCTCATGTGTGGAATCTTTTTTTTGACCATTTTTTCATGTGTCCTCCAAAATCCCCCTGTAGGGGGACAGGCCCGACTTGACACTTCTTGGAGGCCCCCCGCCTTCACGGCAGACCCGCCCCCGCCTTCGCGCCGCCGCCGAGCGAGCCAGGACGACCTCTGCCCTGCACCCGCACGACCTTGCCGGGTCGACGCGCCCCGCCGGGGCGCCGCCCCCTCCCCTCGGGCCGGACGAAAGGGGGGGGATTGGGAAAGGGGGAAAGGAAGGGATTGGGAAAAGGGGTATTGGGAAAGGAGCAAATCAGCTGCGCGAGCCGATTCTCACCCCCCCCTTTGCTATCATCCCCCCCTTTCGCCCGACCCGATCCTCTCCCCTCGCCCCTCCTCCTCTCAGGAGGGAAAAACACACAGACACAATGAATCGTTGATTCCCCAGAAAATATGGGAAAATATGGGAAGTGATGGGGAAGACGAAGACCCCAAACATATAGGAAAATATGGGAAATCTTTTTCTTTGTGTGTATTTTTTTGTGTGTCCTTGGGCCCCTTCCTCCTTCAGAGGCGACGATAGGGGCGAGTAGCCCAGGGGGGAGCAATACATGTATCCCGAGGCGCAGCTGATGCATGTCTTCGGCGAGGCTCCCGTGCGAGTACGTGTAAGGCCCGCCCCTGGGCTATTCTTTAGGCCTCCTCGATGGGGTCGAAGTAGATGGGATCGGAGGATCGCGCCGCATCGCCGATGCATCGGCGATGCGGCTCGATGTGGAGCCCGATTTTCTCCACACCGACGTCGCCGATGCATCGCCAGCATCACCAGTGCATCGCCGATGCATCGGCGATGCATCGGCGATGCGGCGCGATCCTCCGACTCCATCTACTCTGACCCCATCTGGGAGGCCTCTGTTTTCGCCCCCGCCGACTCCTAGCTTCGGGCAGGAGGAGGAGGAGGAGGAGGAGGAGGAGGAGGGGGAGGAAGAGGAGGAGGAGGAGGAGGAGGAGGAGGAGGAGGAGGAGGAGGAGGAGGAGGAGGAGGAGGAGGAGGAGGAGGAGGAGGAGGAGGAGGAGGAGGAGGAGAGGAGGAGGAGGAGGAGGAGGAGGAGGAGGAGGAGGAGGAGGAGGGGAGGAGGAGAAGGAGGAGGAGGAGAGGAGGAGGAGGAGGAGGAGGAGGAGGAGGAGGAGGTGAGGAGGAGGAGGAGGGGAGGAGGAGGAGGAGGAGGAGGAGGAGGAGGGAGGAGGATGAGGAGGAGGAGAAGGCGGAGGAGGAGGCGGAGGAGGAGGAGGCGGAGGAGGAGGAGGAGGAGGCGGAGGAGGCGGAGGAGGAGTAGCTCTTTCTGGTCGCGGCGCGGGCGCGTCGCTGAGCGGCGCGGTCGAGGCCCGAGCGGGGGCGCAGCCGGGCGCGCCCTGCACAAGAGAGCGGGGGCGGGAGTCGGGGCGATCGAAACGGGCACGGAAGGAATGGGTACGGAGACTCAAGCAGTGGCGAAGCGTCCTGGCGTGTCTATAGGCCTACCAAACAATGTTCTAAGAACCTTTTGTGTGGTTTCCACGACATGTTCTTAGAACATCTCTGGCTGGGACTGTCTCGTTTTGGCACATCGGGAATCTGTTCTAAGAACGTTGTTTTTGTTCTTAGAACATTCTTGGGTTCTAAGACCATCTCGTGGTAAGCCTATAGGAATGCCGGGACGGTCGGTCCCTGCTCAAAAGACCGATCGCATGTCCGGAACACTTTGAACAGGGCTCTCTGTCGTGTCGCCGCGGGCACGGTCAACTCGAGGCAGAGGACCGCCTGCCCAACAGCGGCCGCTGTCGTTGTTGGACAACGTTAGCTGTTTGGTATAGTACCCAATTTTTTTCCCATACCCACTTCAGGCGTCCAACATGAGGAAAACGACCGCGGAGGAGGGAGAGTAAGGACGGGAGTAATGGCACACTTAACTATGCCGATGGACGTGCTCCCTCCTTCCCCCCGACCTCGCTCCTACTCTCGGTGTCTCCTCCCCTCCTGAGGGGGAGTGGGAAAACGGAAGGGGGAGAGGAAAGGCGGCTCGCTCAGGCCGCTGGCTAGGAAACCCGCGTCCTGCCTGCAGATGACACGCGCTTCCTCGTGTGGCGTGGGTTTCTCTTCTGGGCAGGACGCCCAGAGCAGCAAAGCGCGTGCCTGGCGGTGCACTGCCCCGGGGCATGCATGCGGCTCGGTCTTCCATGCCGCCCTCCCCGCCGGTGCTCTGAGGGCGCCCTTCAGGCGAAGCTGCTCTGGCGGTCGACATGGAGCTCTCCCTGTTTACCAGCCTGAAGCATCTCCTTGTCCCTGCGTTTGGCATCGCCTCATCTCGATGCCGATCTCGAGGATTCCCTCAGCTTCCGAGGAATCTCCTGCCTGATCAAGAGTGTCACCGTCCTTTCGCTGGTGAGTCTTAGGGATAGAGAAGAAAGTCACTTCGAAGCTGATTGCTTCGGTGCAGCACTTGGACAACGGCCCACGCCCACCCCCTCGGGCCCCCCTCGCCCTCCGGGGCGGCCCGCCCGCGGGAGCAGCCTGCCGCGCCCCCCCGCGGGGCCGCGGCTGCCGGCCGCGGCCGGATTGTCGCTTCTCCTTCGCGGCGCCGCCGCCACTGCTTGCCGCCGCCGCAGCCACCGCTCGCTGCTGCCGCCACCGCCGCCGTTGCCTTCCCTCGTCGTTGTCGTCGCCGTTTTCGTCGCCGTCGCCGTCGCCGATCGTCGTCGTCGTCGTCGTCGTCGTCGTCGTCGGCGTCGTCGCCTTCGTAGGCGTCGTTGTCGTCGTCGTCGTCGTCGTCGTCGTTCTCGTCGTAGGCGTCGTCCTCGTCATAGTCGTCGTCGTCGTCGTCGTCGTCGTCGTCGTCGTCGTCGTCGTCGTCGTCCTCCGCGTCCTCGTCGTCGTGGATGCATGGGGGTGGGAGCAGTGGAGACAGCGGCGGCCCTCCCGTCTGGCCCAGGTCCGCTCAAGATCGGCCCCTGGGCCCCTCCCTGGCTCCATCCGGACCCTCGGCATCGCTCGGACGTGTGCATTCTTTCGGGAGCTGGGACGTATACACTGCCACTGGCGGGCTGTTTCTCAATCCCAGGACTTTTTGAGGGTCGGTGACGACGTCGGGGCAGTGTGGTGTACACTTGCTGTTCCGTTTCCCAGAAAACAGCGAAGCACACACATACATACATACACACATATATGTATGTATGTATGTATGTATGTATATATATATATATATATATATATATATATATATATGCAAGACTGCAGTGGCGCTTCGCGCCATGCACCTTGGTCCTTGAAGTGTGGCATGCAGGCGGAATAGCAGGCAGGTCAAGCCGACAATTTAGCGATAACTCCTTTTTGCCTTTTCCGGCATCGTCGCTATAGTAATGTTATTCGTCATCCTTCCTCCATGCTTCTTTTTCTTCATTTTCGCCATACCCTGCGCATTCTCCCCATCCTCCTCAGCTCTTTTTTGAGGAGGCTCCTCCTTGGAGAGCCTCTGGGGGCCTCACAAAAGTTGTTTCAGGCTTTCTTAAGTCTTTCTGGAGGCCTCCTGGGGGTATTCTGGGGGCCTCTGGGGGATTCCTCGGGCCACCCTGCCTCCAACCGCGGTCTCCCTGAACGACAGGGTCACGATTTGGAGTGTTTCGGAGGGTGTCTTGGGGCCATCTTGGGCCGCCATGGGGCTCCCTGAGGGCCATCTTGGACCCGTGTTGTGCCGTTTTGGGGCTCTCTTGGACTGCCTGGAAGCCCTTTCGGATGGTTGTGGGGCGATTTTGGAGCCTCCCAGACGGCTTCGGACGCCCAGAAGACCGCCGTCTTGGAGCGTCGGGAAGCCGAAAAGAGGAGAACCCCAACATTCACCAAACACCAACGGAAAATCAATGATTTTTGCGTTTTGGGGCCTTCTTGGGAGTGCTCTTGGAGGTCTTCTTGGGGCCGTCCCGGAAGCTTCTTGGCCCAAGAGGCCATCTTGAGGTCACGTCGGTTACTCTTGGAGCGCTCTTGTGCTGTCTTGGGGGTCTCTGGGACGTCTCCGATGACCCCCCTGATCGCCCTAGGTGTGCTGGGAAGACTTGGCAAAACGCCCTGCGAGGCCCAGGGGGCCGCTTCGAGGCCCGTCCGGAGGGTCCCAAAGCCCCAGATCCCGGGAGTCCGTTTTGTTTTTTTTTGGGGGGGGGGTGACGGGTTTTACCCCCGCCGAGGCTTGTAAAAGTATAAGAAAAGGAACACGTATATACACCACGGTACCGTAATGATACACCAGGATCCGCTTTCCCATGCGAATTTCGGTGCAGGGCCGGAAAAGCGTCGGTGTATAGAGCGCGGTTCCTTATTTTTCTCGGCGAGGACTATCGAGCAGCATCCTGGACCAGCGGGCCAAAAATAGCACGCGCGAAACCGACACATGCACGAGGAAGGAACGTCCGAGCGATGGCAAGGACCCGTTCTTCGAGGCGGAGAGCCAGCCGCGTTGACGGCAACAGAGCACGCCAGGGATGCGGCAGCCGTCTCGACGGGCCCTCCGACGGCAGGATTTCCGCTTCTTCCTCACGACGAAGCTCCCGAACCCGCACTACTCGCCCGAGGTATGCGTGCAGGCCCCCCAGCCCGGCGCTCCGGCGTGGCTCGCCTGGCGGCTGCGCTCCTCCTGGGACGACCTCTAGCGAACCGTACACTGTCGGGAGGTCCCTCGGGCTTAGATGTTATTCAGTGTTGTTAGTTTGTTTTCTGTTTTATTGTTGCAGCTTTATGTGTGTTGTATGCGCGTGTGTGTGTGTGTGTGTGTGTGTGTGTGTGTTTCGTGCATACCACTTACGCCCCATCGCTAGCGCAGTGATACTGCTTAGCCGACGATGAAAGTGTAAGTGTGTGTGTGTGTGCGTGCGTGCGTGCGTGCGTGCGTGCGTGCTTGCGTGTGTGCGTGTAATCTCGGCGCCGTTCTCGCGGTGGCCTTCCGCTCCTCCTCTGCTTCGCTCCTCTGGTGGGGCTTGCTGTGGTCTCTGTCGTTCCCCAGGATTTCCTGCGCCGTCCATTTTGGTCTTCCCGAAAACAGGGCGGGGGGGAATAGCGTACCAAATTGTTGTTTGGTAAGTTTTTTCCCCTTTCCGGCTTTGGGGTGCCGGCGCCACGCCGTCTTGTTGCCTTGTGATGATTGGCTGCTCGTTGCAACTTGTCCCTCCCCTCCCTCTCCCTGTGTGACCGCCATATGCGCATGAATTTTGGCCCCGACGCTGCCCGTCCACTTGAGCACGGCATGCAGCCCTCCCAAACCAATCTGTGGAGCAGTCTGTTTTGGGCCCAGATTACTTTCTACTAGTACAGACCATTCATCCTTGGTGACGAACTCGTATAGACCCAGATCTGCAGCGATTTTTGAGCTCGAGGCGCGTACGAGAGGTGCGGCGGTGTGCCGGCGGCTCTCTGCCACTGCAGGCGTGAGGGTGCGCAGCTCCGCCGTCGGGGCCATCCGGCGGTCGAGCACCCCGGAGGCTCGCTGGCAGGCCTGAGAGCCAGGCTCTCCCCGGGCGGTGCCTGCTTCGAAAGACTCCTGGTGGCCGTAGGTCCGGCGGCTCTTCGTCACGGCCGGGGCGTGCATGCGGCGAGGCGCGCGGTGAAGGCCATTGAATCCCAGGGTCGTCTGTCTGTCTGTTTGTCTGTCTCTCTGTCGGTCTGTCTGTCTGTCTGTCTCTCTGTCTGTCTGTCTCTCTGTCTCTCTGTCTCTCTGTCTCTCTCTACCTTCTCCCCTGCCTCCTCTTTCTCCCAACTCGCCGCGTGCGCGATCCGGCCGGGTCTCCAGCGTCTCCTCCTCCTGCTCTGCCGCGTCCGCCAGGTGACCCTGCTGAACTTCATGGCCACCCCCGACGGCCTCGAGGACCAGATGCTGGGGATCCTCGTGGCAGCGGAGGCGCCCGAGCCTCGGTGGGGGGGGGGGCAGCCCCTGCGCGAAGGGGGTCTTTGGCCGTCACTCGGGCGTGTGCATCCTCGGGCAGCGGTGGCAACAAGCGCTGTTTGCTGTTAGCAACCGTTTGTATTGTTTTTTGTTTGGTTTGTCGTTCTGAAGGCTGCGTTTTGTTTTTGTTTTGCTTTTGTCTTTGGCGTTCGAGAGCGCCGAACGAGCTCCGACGTCGCGATTTGTTTGGTTTGAACGGAGAACGCGTTGTGAGTAGAACCAGCGTTTGTTTCCGGCGCTGTTTTGTTTGTGTGTGGGGGGGGGCGAGGGCCGTCGAGGAACCTCCTGGACCGTCTTGCGATCTTCGCCCACGACGTCGGCAAGTTGCCATGGGGAGTTGGGCGTCCGGGCGACCTGCGCGATGGTGAGCGCAGGCGGGCCGCGGGGGTCAGGGGCAACGCTGGGGGCAAGTCGGGCGTGTCCCTCGCCAGGGGGAATCTTGGAGACCTGGGAATGGGCACCAACACCAACACACAGGAGTTTGCCTCCACAGGGGGAAGATGATCCTAGATTTCGGTGTTGGTGGTAATGTTTCGGTCTCCTTGGAAGCCAGAGCATTACCACCACCAGTGAGGTCGGGGTCTTCTTCCCTGGGTTGGAGGCACACCGCCGACATTTGGTGTTGGTGTCAACCTCGGGACGGGCCAGAATACTAGAAAGTAGTAAAACACATGATCAGGGGACGCTTTTTTGGCGGCATTCTTTGACTATCTTTGAGTACTTTCCGATTATGTTGCACTCTGCGTCCACGGCCCGCCTGTAGGGGGACGTGCCTCCCTACAGGCGGGCTGTGGGCTCAGGGCTGGAACAGGCTAACGCTGGGAGAGGAACAGGCTCAGGGCTGGGCGGGAGGGGCTCGAGGCCTGAGGTTTTCGGGCGTTTCCGCCGGTCCTCGGCAGCTCTCCGGCCTCGGGATGCTCTTCCGCAGCTGCGCCTCGCCGAGAGCGTTCCGGGGATGCCCGGATCGCCCTGCGTGGCCGCCGGAGGCCAGAGTGAGGGCCCGAAGACCACCGGGGACGGGGATGGGCTCAGCAGGGGAGTGCAACGACCCCCGACCGCCCACTGATCGCCGATAGGGGCGCGATGGCTCACTCCGACCACGGACGTGAGGATTCGCTGCGAGGGGCCCATCGCCGGTCTCTCGGCGATGTATCGCCGATTCAAGCTCGATGCTTCCCCTCCCTGAGCCGGTCCCCCCTGCAGGCCCCTGTCAGAGGGGGGGCGGGGGAGCGCGGAACCGAGGAGGGAGCGGAAGTAGGGTGAAGGACGAGAAGGGGGGAGGGGCGAGGACGAGGATCTAGGAAAAACAGATAGCACAAATAGACAGTTTCGGATGTCCGCGCCTGCTTCTTGGATCGGCGCGTGTCCCCTCCCTGTCTTGCGCAGCGCCCCAGGGGCGGCGCCGGAGGCGCCGCCAGGGAAATTCGCACGAACTTCTGACATTGTATGGTTTTCATGCAATGGGTTTATCGGAGCTACCATCGTGCTTGCGCATCTTTTCGCATCTGCAGACCACGCTGTTTTGTTTGTTTTTGTTTTCTGTCTTCTTTTTCTCTTCTCTCCAACGGAGACGCCTGGGTCTCGACCCTTCTCTGGGAACAGCTTTCCAGCCTGGACCGACCTCTGATGGTCCGAGGGCCTGGTGAGGTCCCCCCGGGAGGCCGAAAATGGTGTCGGTTTCCTGTCGTGGCCTGCCCCCCCCCCCCCCCTTCTCTGACATCTGCCGATGTGATTGCGAAGGCCTTTTGGCTGGTGCCGCCGACCCTGAAGTCGATGACGACGAGGACGACGAGGAGGGGGATGGGGGAGGAGGAGCGGGAGGAGGAAGCGGAGGACGCGGTGGAGCAACAGGAGGAGGCGGGGGAGGATGCGGATGAGGATGCGGAGGGGCAGCAGGAGCATGGGGAGGACGGTGGGGTGGGGGAAAGAGCATTAGGAGGACGAGGATAATGGGAGTCGGAGGAACAGGCGAAGAAGGAGGACACGGAGGAGGGGGAGGAGGAGGGGCAGGAGGAGGAGGAGGAGGAGGAGGAGGAGGAGGAGGAGGAGAGGAGGAGGAGGAGGAGGAGGACGCGGAGGAGGCGAAGGAGGAGGAGGAGGTGGAGGAGGAGGAGGAGGAGGAGGAGGAGGAGGAGGAGGAGGAGGAGCAGGAGGCAGAGCAGAAGGAGGAGAAGGAGGAGAAGGAGGAGGAGGAGGAGGAGGAGGAGGAGGACGTGGTGGAGCAGGAGGGGGAGATGGAGGGAGAGCATGCGGAGGAGGATGAGGAGGGGGAGTTGGGGCAGGAGGAGGTCGAGGAACTTTTGAGCCTCTTGCGGGCCTCCTGGGGGGCTCTTCTGGGCCTTTTGGGGCCATCGTGGGCCTCTTGGAGGCCTCTTGGGGCGTCGTGGAGGCGGGTGGGTCGCGGGTGGGTCGCGGTGGGTAGCGGGTGGGTTGCGGTGGGTCGCGGGTGGGCTGTGGGTGGGTCGCGGGTGGGTCGTGAGAGGGTCGCGGGCGGGTCGCGGGGCGGGTCGCGGGGTGGGTCGCGGGGTGGGTCGCGGGTGGGTCGCGGGGGGGGGTCGCGGGGTGGGTCGCGGGGTGGGTTGCGGGTGGGTCGCGGGGTGGGTCGCGGGTGGGTCGAGGGTGGGTCGCGGGCTTGGTCGCGGGGGGGACGACGCCAAACACAGCAACACAGAGCAAACAGCAACACCAATAATTCGCATCGCGGAATCCCACTTCAGCCACGCACCCAGGGACAGTGAATGACCTTTCGGCCCCCTCACTCTGACGGAGCATTCTGCGTATATTCTCGCAGGATCGACGACGCAAGAATCAAAGCTGGGGTACATCGATTCTCCGGTCGATCCCCGACTCGAGCCAAGGCGGAGGATGACCGATCGGCACTGCGCCAGCCGCGCAAGGGCGACGCGCACCCCCCCGGAAGTCTCACAGTTAAAGCTCCGTGGCGGGCGCCTTCTGGCCGTTCCGCTCGGGAGACGGGCCTGCTGCAAGAGTCTGCCTTGCGGGTTCGGTTCGGACGCGCCCCTCCGACACGAACACACACGTCGTATCGAGTCGGGGCTTTCCCTCTGCAGGGGGAGTAGTCAGAACTAGTGACACAACAGTCGGGGGCCTATTTGTTCACCACTTTTGAGCATTTTGGGGGTATTTAGTGTAATTCTTTTTTTAATGTCTCGTCCAACGTCCGCCCGTAGGGGGACATGCCCGACCCAGACGTAGTACTGGTATGCCCCTCTGTGTCCTCAGCCGAGATCGACGCCGGGCGTCTCCGCGTTCCGTCGCTGGCCACGCCGTCCTCCGCCCCCTCTCCTGGGCGGGCGGCCCCCGCCGGCCTCGCGCAGGAGCCCGAGACGGAAAAGCGGAGGATCCAGCTGGTGGTGGACAGCGCGGAGAGCAAGGCGCCGGGGCGGGGCGCGCCGCTCGTGGCGGGCCGGCCGCCGCCCGCCGTCGCTGCACCGGCGCCGTCGCGGCGGCCGCTGCGCCGTCGGCTCCGTCGTCCCTCGCCCCCTGCCGCTGTTGAGGGGCGGGAGGGGCATGAGGAGGCGGAGGCTGCGGGGGAGCAGCCGGGAGGGAGGAGGGAGAGGGTCGAGGAGGAGGAGGAGGGAGGAGGAGGGAGGAGGAGGGAGGAGGAGGACGGGGGGACGGTGACGGAGACGGCGACGACGACAACGCCGGCGTCGACGACGGAGACGACGTCGACGACGGTGATGACGGCGGTGACGACGACGACGACGATGACGACGACGACGGTGACGTCGGCGACGGCGACGACGACGATGAGTACAAGGACGCGGAGGAGGACGAGCACGACAATGAGGACGAGGATCATAATGTTGACGAGGAGGACGACGACCACGATGATCACGAGTATGATGATGAGAGGATGATGGGATGGTGATTGTTATCATGACCATGTTGTCGAAGAGGACGAGTCTGCTGATGGTGAGGCTGATGATGATGATGGTAATGATGATGACGACGATGATCACGATGGTCATGCTGGTGATGCCGATGATGAGTACAACGATGTTGAACGATGTTGACTATGGCGATGCTGTTGCTGCTGGTGAGGTTGATGATGATGTCGTCGCTGCTGCTGCTGCTGATGTTGCTGATGTTGATGCTGATGCTGATGCTGATGCTGCTGCTGATGATAGTGTTGAGGATGAGGATGATCATGCGGATGATGCCGATGATGCTGTTGACGTTGCTGCTGCTGATGCTGATGCTGATGCTGCCGCTGCTATTGCTTATGATATGATTAGGATGAGGACGTGGATGATGCTGCTGATGATGCCGATAATGACGATGATGACGATGCTGATAGCGATGCTTATGCCACTGCTGATTATGATGACGATGACGATGACGATCATGTTGCCGATGCTGATGATGAAGATGATGAGTATGAGTATGATGACGATGATGATGATGATGCTGATGATGATGCTGATGATGATGATGATGATGATGATGAGAAAGATGATGATAGTGATGACGACGCTGATGCTGCTGATGATGATGATGATGGTGGTGGTGATGGTGATGGTGATGGTGATGGTGATGGTGATCGTTATGATGATGACGAGGACGAGGAAGAGGAAGAGGAAGAGGCGATGGAGGAGGACCAATGTTAACCCAAGAGTAATCAACGATGTTGTAATAAACCCTCCCTTCAAGCTCCCTCTACGGTTCATTTCCATAGAGGGACCTGCCTCGTTGGAAGACCGTTTGAAGACCCTGCAGCATACCAACACATTGTTCTCGGGATTCCAATGCCACGGATCAACCTGATTGTTGCGTCTTGATGATCCGGAACCGTGCCAGTACACCATTCCTGGCACTTCAACGCAGCTAATCGACGTAGCTGTTGCACCCTCATGACCCTGAATCCTTCCAAAACAACAGTTCTGGTATGTTGATCTTGGGAATACGTGAAACTCTTGTAATGAAAAACGACTGTGCGCGACGCTAAGGCGAGAGCCACATTTTGAAAACGAGTCGCCCGCAATCCATGGTGCTCTTGCAAATGTTTAAAGCCAATGTGCGCTGCGCTAAGGCGAGAGCCTTATTTCTAAAACGGGTCGCCCTCAATCCGTGAAGCCCTTGCAAACGAATGGGCACGGCGCTAAGGCGAGAGCCAAATTTTGAAAACGGGTCGCCCTCAATCCGTGAAGCTCTTGCATTTTTTCGAAGCGAGTGGGCGCGGCGCTAAGGCGAGAGCCACATTGTGAAAACTGATCACCCTCAATCCGTGAAGCTTTTGCTTGCTTTTGTCAGCCTCAGGAGAAGCGCCTGGCCCGCCCTAACATCTGGCCTCGGGGTGCGACAGGGGGAAGCTGTTCATAATGAAAAGGAATGGAGGAGGCGGAGGAGGAGGAGGAGGAGGAGGAGGAGGAGGAGGAGGAGGAGGAGGAGGAGGAGGAAGAGCAGGAGGCGAAGGAGGAGGAGGAGGAGGAGGAGGAGGAGGAGGAGGAGGATTATGACGATTACCCAGTGTTCTTTTCAGCAGGAGGAGGAGGATTATGACGGGCCGCAAGCAGCAGGAGGGCCCGAAGATGGCCCAAGAGGCCCCGATGCCAACCACAGAGGACCCAAAGAAAGCTCCAGGAGGGGCTCCAAGAGTGGGAGCACGAACGGACATTTCGAGTAGCAGATTCCCAAGCCGCTCAATGGCACCAAGAGGCTCCCGAGATTCCCAAAGCAGGCCCCAGGAAGCCCCCGAGAGGCTCCCGATAGGCGAGAGGCCACAAGGCACCTCCAAAACCGCCTCCACGAGGTTTCCAAGACGCATCCCAAGAGCCCCACAAGCGTCCAGGAGGCCTCTGACCCACAACCCAGGCACGTTGGCGGGATGAAAAGAACACTGGGTAATCGTCATAATCCTCCTCCTCCTCCTCCTCCTCCTCCTCCTTCGCCTCCTGCTCTTCCTCCTCCTCCTCCTCCTCCTCCTCCTCCTCCACCTCTTCTCCTTATAGGTAACTCCTCCCTGTCGCACTCCGAGGCTAGTTTTTGGGGCGGGCCGGGCGTTTCGCCTGAAATTTGATAAATGACAGAAGCTTCACAAATGGAGGGTGGGTCGTCTTCAAAAGATGGCTCTTGCCTCAGCGCCGCGCGCATTCGTTCTCAAAAACTGCAAGAGCTTCACGGATTGAGGGTTGGTCGTTTTCAACATGTGGCTCTCGCTTTTTGCGCCGCGTACATTCTTTGTAAATGTTTGCAAGAGCTTCATGGATTGAGGGCGGGCCGTTTTCAAAATGTGGCTCTCGCTTTTTGCGCCGCGCGCATTCGTTTTCAAACCTTGCAAGAGCTTCACGGATTGATGGTGGCTCCTTCTCAAAATGTGGTTCTCGTTTTTAGCGCCGCGCACATTCGCTTTCAACGTTTGCAAAAGCTTTACGGATTGAGGGCGGGTCCTTCTCAAAATGTGGCTTCCGCTTTAGCGCCGCGCACATCCGTTTTCAACATTTGCAAGCGCTTCACGGATTGAGGGCGGTTTCTTCTCAAAATGTCGCTCTCGCTTTAGCGCCGCGCACATTCGTTTCAAAACTTCCAAGAGCTTCACGGATTGAGGGTGGCTCCTTCTCACAATGTGGCTCTCGCCTTTTGCGCCGCGCGCATTCGTTTTCAACATTTGCAAGAAGTTCACGGATTGAGGGCGGGCCGTTTTCAAAGTGTGGCTCTCGCTTTCTGCGCCGCGCGCATTCTTTGTAACAATCTGCAAGAGCTTCACAGATTGAGGGCGGGCCATTTTCAAAATGTGGATCTCGCCTTAGCGCCGCACACATTCGTTTTCAAAACTTGCGAGAGCTTCACGGATTGAGGGCGGTTCCTTTTCAGAATGTGGCTCTCGCCTTAGCGCCGCGCACATTCGTTTTCAAAATTTGCAAGAGCTTCACGGGTTGAGGGCCGTTCCTTTTCAGAATGTGGCTCTCGCTCTAGCGCCGCGCACATTCGTTTTAGACATTTGCGAGATTTTCTCTGATTCGCATGATCAACGGACCCAAAGTGTTTGGAAGGATTCCGGATCACGCGGATGCAACAGTTATGTTTATTGAATCGCTTCGCTCATTCCGCCGGCCCGTGATATGGCATCGCTGGTTTTTGTCTGTGTGTTCGTTGCCCATGTTGCGCTCTTGGGGGCGGGTGTCGTTCGGACGCGTTGCGTGGGGAGTTTTGATGGTGAAGCAGTTCCCTGGGGGTCGTCTCTCGATGGGGCGAAATAGAGTCGCCGTCAAGATGCTTCTTTGGGGGGCCTCTTGGGGTCTGTTGAGAGGCCGTTCGGGGGCGCCTGGGAGACAGTTATGTTTATTCGCGGTGTTGAAATCCCACAAAATGGCGTTATGGCACGATTCGGGATCGCCAGAACGCAGCAGTCAGGTTGATAAGTGGCGTTGAAATCCCGAGAACAATGTTTTGGCATGCTTCAGGGTCTTCAAACGGTTGTTTTCCAACGGGGCAGTTCCCTCAATGGACGTGAGCCGTGGCGGGGGCCTGTGAAGAGGGAGCTCGGAGGGAGGGCTAACTCCAACATCGTTGATGATTCTTGGGCCTGCACTGGTCCTCCTCCTCCTCGTCCTCCTCCTCCTCCTCCTCCCGAGCACTCCCAGACGTCACGCCCACGGGCGCCCGCTGGGCGAACGCCCGGCAGCCAGGCGCAGGGGGCGGGGGGGGCGGCCGCGAGGCGCCCCCCCGAGGACCTCCTGGCAGCCAGGTCCAGCACAGTGGAGGCCCACGCCAGGGGAACCCACCGTGCCTCCAGGGTGCCCTGGGCTTCTCGGGTCTCGAGGGTTCTGCGCTGGAGAGCGTGACGGACGTCGCCGCGCCAAGCATCGATGGGCGTCCTGTGGTCTCAGTGGAGGCCCATGCCAAGAAAACGCCCTGCGTGCCTCCAGGGTGCCCTGGGCTTCTCGGGTCTCGAGGGTTCTGCGCTGGAGAGCGTGACGGACGTCCCCGCGCCAAGCATCGATGGGCGTCCTGTGGTCTCAGTGGAGGCCCATGCCAAGAAACGCCCTGCGTGCCTCCAGGGTGCCCTGGGCTTCTCGGGTCTCGAGGGTTCTGCGCTGGAGAGCGTGACGGACGTCCCCGCGCCAAGCATCGATGGGCGTCTGTGGTCTCAGTGGAGGCCCATGCCAAGAAAACGCCCTGCGTGCCTCCAGGGTGCCCTGGGCTTCTCGGGTCTCGAGGGTTCTGCGCTGGAGAGCGTGACGGACGTCCCCGCGCCAAGCATCGATGGGCGTCCTGTGGTCTCAGTGGAGGCCCATGCCAAGAAAACGCCCTGCGTGCCTCCAGGGTGCTCTGGGCTTCTCGGGTCTCGAGGGTTCTGCGCTGGAGAGCGTGACGGACGTCCCCGCGCCAAGCATCGATGGGCGTCCTGTGGTCTCAGTGGAGGCCCATG